TTTTTTTTTTTTAAAGATATCATGTCCACACTTCTCTCCTTTTATTTATCCAATCACTTGTTTTCAGGTGTAATAAGAAATACAATTTCACCGGTAATCAATTAGAAAAATGTCGATAGATTTCTTTCTTTCCACGCCGATGACACAGGACTGTTCTTATACACATCTGACATCTTTAAACCATTAAAAACGGTCTCTGTCAGTCAGATAGTCTCACTCGCTGATGGTATTTTGTATCTCACAGAAAGCAGCTGTTGACGGCAAACGACAAGAAATCATAGTCCTGGATTCCAAGCGCAGCAACGCTATAAACATCGGCCTGACTGTCTTGCCTCCTCCCCGCACAATCAAGACGGCCATTCTCAACTTTGATGAGTACGCACTAAACAAGGAAGGCATTGAGGTAAGAGAGGCTCTGTCTTAAAATGCACATATCTGAATTAGTATTTCTTGAATGAGAACACTACAATACACTGGTGGATTTCCTGAAACAACAGCGATGCAGATGGGATTGAGCATGACGTGCACATGTGATGTGGTTTTTCTGGCTGACTTTTAAGCCGTTTTTGATGTAATGAATCACAGCGGTTGATTAAAGGTTATCTTCCGCTCATCTTAAAAACCATATGACATTTGAAGGACTCCACATCAGAAGATAATAGCGCATGTCGCATTCCTTTGGTGTTATATAACTTACAGCTTCGAAGGCTTCTGCTTGAGCGTATTCTCAGCAGACAGGAGTCTTCCTCTCCACCTTTTGTCTCTGAAGGTATTTCCAGCCAGACAACAAAAGCGAGGTTGAAAGTTCAGATGTCACACAAATTTGTGGGAGAGCTGGAAGCAACTGGGATAAACAGAGCAGGAAACGTCAGACTCAATTTGTCTCCACTCTCTTCTCTATGATTTACTGCTTGACATATTATGTAAAAAAATGTTACACAGGCAGGAAAAACTTTTGATATGTTTGATGAATGATCCTATAAGCCTGTTTTTTCTCTCTCTCTCTCTCTCCCTTTGCTTCCTCTCATGCCTGCCTTCCTGTAGAAAATCCTCACCATGATCCCCACGGAGGAGGAGAAGCAGAGGATCCAGGAGGCTCAGCTGGTCAACCCTGACATTCCTCTGGGTAGCGCCGAGCAGTTCCTCCTCACCCTCTCCTCCATCACCGAGCTGTCTGCTCGCCTGCAGCTGTGGGCATTCAAGATGGACTATGAGCTTATTGAGAAGGTCAGACACATTCCTGTTCACTCTAATCGTGTGCAGACGTGTGGCACTTTGTTACAGTTTTTGTCTCATTTTCAACGCTACGGTTTGATTCAGTGGAACAGTTTGATGTTAGTCGGATAAGAAGATTCAAACTACTCTCATGTCTATATAATAAATATGATGCGACAAAAAGTTTCAAGCAGATTTCCATACACTGTCTAACTTGCAAGAACACTTTTATTGGTTTCTTACAAAGAGCAGCCATCTTAAATAGGGAGTGGCTCTAAAAAAAAATCACATTCTCCACATACTGTAAGAAGAAAGTACGACTCGCAAAACATCATTCTCTTGAAAAACTGTTTTTAACAAACTACAGGAAGCTTCAAAACACTCTATATAGTGACAATTTGTTAATAATAAATGTGAGAAATAGTATGATTTGAATAAACTGCATCCCCCAAAAATACATCCTCACAGGGACCATATGTGGATGAACCTGAAGGATGCATTGAAAAAAAAAATAGCTCTGATAAATAAAGAGAATCCATTGCAGTAAATACTACAAGTACTTGTAAAATTCTAATCTGCTCACAATACGTGAGCACAAAACTTATCAATGACTGTGCCTCTGCTCTGTCAGGGCTGTATACGTTTAATTAAGTGAGTCTCTATAAATGGATCCCACAGGCCTCCAGAGGCAGCTCCACTGAGATACCATTTAAAAAGGTTAACATCAATAATAAATTACCTTAATAATACATTTACTTAAGATTCCCCCCCCCATTAAAACATATAAACACAACCATCTTTAAGGCCTCCAGAAAGGCTTCTCTTTGTAACAAACCATCTACCTGATGAAGTTCGCACACTGACACAGCAGAAATGTATTTTTGTGTGTGAAAGTCTGTCTGAAACTTTCTGATATGCTCATCCCACTCCTACGCACTTGTCTCATGAAACACAAGTGCAAAGAGTTTCCTCGTCTTAAATATAAAGCGACAGCCAGCGACATCTTAGCTGAGCTTAAAGACTGGAAACAGGAAGAACCAGCTCGCCTGACTCTAACCAAAGGCAACATAATCCACCTATAAGCACCAGCAAAGTTCTGTCAAGTTGAAGCTATTAGACTCTGGAGGACTAGAAGGCTTTGTGTGTTTTTTTTCACTGATACAAACTTCTCAGTATCTTTATCAGGAGAGAAGAAGAGCAGCGTTCACGGGCAGAAGCATTAACAGTTAAACGTGACTGCATTTTCTTTCAGGAAGTGGCAGAGCCTCTGCAGGACCTGAAGGAAGGGATGGACCAGTTAGAGAAAAACAAAACACTCAGATACATCTTGACCACATTGCTGGCCATTGGTAACTTCCTCAACGGCTCTAATGTGAGTAAACCTCCTGTTTGTTAATCTGGCGGCATCTTTACATGTTGACTTCTTGTCTGACTGCGAACTTGTCAAGAAAAGTTGCCGTCTTATTAGGTGGAACTTGGAGAATTTCCTCATCGCTTGCTCTACGGTTTCACATCTATTGCAAACTGAAATGTCCATCAAAATGAAAATGTAGTGACACTTACCAATAATTAATGCAAATCTGGGTTTTGACAAAACATTTACAGGAGCACAAGGCAAGTTTGTTGCTTCCAGTTGCTTGGAGAAGTCTTTCCTCTGAGTTTATTAAACAGCATCAGACAGCAACAGGATCCATATGAGCATTGCCAAAGGGAGAGAGCATTTATGCACATGTAACAACAGCGGTAGCACGATTAATCACGTAAATTAATTTATTTTACTGTTGAATTATCGTCACACACGGGCAGACGTTTTAGGAAATCATAAATAGACTTTGCTGCTGGTTATTTGGACAGTTTGATAAGTTTGTTGTGAGTTTAGATTCAATCTTTTGGGTTTTTTCATATCGAGTCAATTGATGCACTATCCAATCTTGCCTGTATAACAAATATGCTCATGGGTTTGTCTACATGATGCTGTGAGACACGTTAAACTAAAAGTAAATCTAAGTGACAAAATGCCAACACTTTAAGACGCTGATGTTCCGCATCCCATGTCTGGAAATGGCTTTATTCATTTCTTCCTATGCTCCTCTTCCCTCCATCCCCCCTGACAACATATCACTTTGGATAACAGTGGACTCTGTGTGTAGAAGAATGTGCAGCAGACTCTGTCCTTCTACAGTAAAAACGGGCTTCTGCTGAACCTGCCTCTGTCTGTCCAAGAGGCAAACAAAAAAAAAAAAAGGGAGGGCGGGAGGGAGGTTGTGCGATTTCTGGAAGTTTGTGTTCGTCTGGCTGCTCGTATGTGAACTTGCATCTGCGTCTCTGATTGTTTTCCTTTGTCACGGGGGTTTTTCTGTGTTTCCGTTGCCTCGCGTGTGTGTCGCTGTGTGTCTCCATCTGTGCACTAAGTGTACGTACAAGTGAACCTTTGGGATACGAAAGCCAAACATGCGAAAGGGAAACATAAGTCATCGACATCAAAACAAGTAGTTCCCGTAAATAATGGCCGCATTTATATTTTTGCAGTAAGCCATTTAAAACTGGCAAAAGAACAAGGGAGATCCAGTTAGGATTATGTCTTTCATGATAAGTTCTGGCTGTTTTAGCATCGCTGCGGTGAGCACAATAATCGGTCGGGCCTGAAGTAGATTGTGGTTTCTGATAATCACAGTCTAATGAATCTACATATCTACTTGGCTCAGTCCATTGAGCCCCTTTTTTTCCGACTGCGCCAAAAAGGAAATTCGCTGCAATTTGGTCCTCGAGTAGAGGCTCTTGAGTTTTAATTTTAGACGGTTGTTTCCGTCCCACGTCCTGAGCGTTCTCCTGTGTTTCCATCTTTAGGCTAAAGGCTTTGAGCTGAGCTACTTGGAGAAAGTCCCGGAGGTGAAGGACACGGTTCACAAGCAGTCCCTGCTGCACCATGCCTGCGCCATCGTGGTCGAGAAGTTTCCAGACAGTACCGACCTCTACTCTGAGATCGGAGCCATTACCCGTCTGACCAAGGTTACCCTTTTGAAAAACTCAATGAATGTCTGTTTTAGTAGAAAGAAAAAAAAACATCTACTGCAGAGAGTCCTGTGATCAGCTCTGTCCATGATTTTGTCGTCAGGTGGACTTCGACCAGCTTCAAGACAATCTGGCACAGATGGAGCGAAGGTGCAAAGCGTCGTGGGACCACCTCAAGGTCATCGCGAAACACGAGATGAAACCCGCGTTGAAACAAAAAATGTCAGACTTCCTCAAAGACTGTGCAGAGAGAATCATTATCCTCAAGATTGTACATCGAAGAATTATCAACAGGTACGTTTATGTGTGGATCGTGTCACCCACTGGATTGTAGACGACGGTTTTGAAGCAATGAGTTTGACATTTGGCCATCACCATGTTGGTCTCACTATGCACTGTGATATGGTAGCCCCACCCTAAAACATACTCAGACTCATCTATTTTACTCAAAATGGTAGAATAAGTAACTGAAGTTGTATTTAAAAAGTCTTGAAACTAGCAATTGAGACCATAAACTCATAAAAATGTTTGCTAAGGTAAGAGATCAAGTAAGAAATGGGGTCGTTATCTAATAGACTTCTATACAGTCTGACCTCTTTTTTCATCAGAGGTGTCGCCCCCTGTTGGCTGTTAGAAAGAATGCAGGTTTAAGGCACTTTTCATACCTGGAGGCTACATCTATCTTTTATACACAGTCTGGGGTGTAGATTCATTCACTACAAGCTGGATTACATGAAAACTTTTGTGCATTTTGTTCAATGTTAATTTAGATACGGTCACTGGTAATAGAGCTGTTTTGTTGCATGTGTTAACTCCAGTTTCTCCCAGAGGATCTCGCCCAAAACACACTCTGCTTTATCGTCTATTTTACTCTAAATGACAGCATAGTTTACTGAATAAATACCATGTTATGTTTAAAAAGTCTTGAAAGTAGCCATAAATGTACTAGAATGTTTATTCAGATGACAACTCAAGTGAGAAATAGGGTAATTTTCTCATTGACTTTTATACAGGCTGACCTCTTTTTGCAACCAGAGGAGTCGCCCCCTGCTGGCTGTTAGAAAGAATGCAGATTTAAGCTTCACTTTCCAGACCTGGAGGGTCCATCTTTAAATATAGTGTACTGTGTAGATTCATTCATTATACTGCATTACAACTTTCTTGCATTTTAGCGATGAAACTGCTCCGTTGCTTGTCCAAACTTTTAATTTCTACCAAAGGATCTGCGCATAGTGATGTTTCTCCACACATCTGCAGGTTTCACGCCTTTCTGTTGTTCCTGGGCCATCCGGTATATGCCGTACGTGAGGTCAGCATACATCGCTTTAGCAAGATCCTGAGCGAATTTGCCCTGGAGTATCGCACAACAAGGGAGCGCGTGCTGCAACAGAAACAGAAGAGGGCCAACCACCGAGAGAGGAACAAGACCAGGGGAAAAATGATAACAGATGTAAGTGGTCTTCAACAGTCACAGATACACCTTCTCCATTTCCTAATCCTCTTCTTTGTTTAGTTTGTATTTTCTCAATTCTGCGAAATGATAATAACAATCCCTCGACACGGGTTACATCCTTAATCTGGTTAAAGCGCCCAATGTGGCCTTTTTTCTGACAGACAGGCTTGCGTTCGTAATGACGTCGGCTCAGTTCCTCGGTATTGGCGTGTATAGGTTACTGTAACAACAGTCAGTGAGCTGTTTTTAGTGTATCCCATTCTGTAGCTGCAGCAGGCTAAGAAAGGCCAGAGCAAACACCTCGCTGCGTGATTAAAATCCCCTGAATCCTCCAGAGTCAGCTGCTCAGAGAAGAGTCCACAGCGGGGCCTGGCAGGGGCCCCTCTGGCTTCAAAGGGACCCTAATTCAATCACTGTGTGAAAATTCAAACCTTTGGACGTCCCCGAAGGAGAAATAACAAGAGCTACACCTTAGCCACATGCCTACAGAGATGTTCGCTCTAATGTGCTCTTCTCTTCTCCACAGCTGGTATCTGCAGTGTTTCTATTATGTTATGGGGGAAGTGAAAACCTGATGCTAATTGTGATGTTTAAAGGAATAGTTGGACATTTTGTGGAAACTCTTCATTCTTGTTCTGTATTAGATGGCATGATATGTACCTTTTCCTATAGAATCCTATAGAGTTACCGAGCCGGACTGGCAAACTCCAAATAAAAGTAACGCCACATAAAACCACAAATTTGTCATTGTACAGATGTAAAATAAATGTAGATCTAATGTACATAGAATGGCATTACATCCAAATCAAACACTGAAAAGTTTGCACCTTACTTATTAGGGTCCGAGCACACAAAAGGG